TTTAACTACAGCCGACCTACCTGCACAGCTGATGAATGACCAATCAAATCACCAACCAGCTCCAAGAAATACATAGGTGTATTCTCCTGCATCTTCTTAGCCGCTTGGTTTGCCTGCTTGTTCACCCTTCCAAATCCCCACATGTTGAAAAACCCTGGGGAGGGGAAAAAATATCTCTAGTTTTGGCAAAAAAATCACAAATACAATTTCCAACCCAACCCATTCTGTGAATGTCTGTACTTGTGGAAAATGCTTCTTAAAACACTAGCAACTAGCCCTGAGGACTGCAGTGCCCCGAGGTAGTATGTGAGGTTGGATATAGCCTCTAAGTGAGTCCTAAGCTGAAGGAGATATGGAAAACACTTCTTTTGGTGTGCCAGCTGCTTGTCTGCAGGCTTCCTTCCTTCACAAGCTGCTGCAACCACTTCCTCTTGCATGGTGGAGAATTCAGGATCTGCTTAGACCTTTGGTTTAACTGCACTTGCTGCAACCACTGTGTCTTAAGTCTGGAATTACAGCCCTGTAGTACTGATATTGTATTTGGTGCAAGGAGAGAGGATCAAACTGTCAGGAAAGGTCATAGTTTTTGTTAAATCATAGTTGTTAAATCAGCTGTAAACTCTAAATAAGCTTTATGGCACCAAACTGCTTCATCTGGACCTTCCAACACCCCACATCAGACCTCGGAGGGCTTGTACACCCATGCCTTCAGTTTTCCTCCCACACCTCTTTATCAGCTGGTAAAACACAAGACATTAGTTCTTCTAACAAAGCCTGAAAGCCTCTCTATCCCTATAGGATGAATACTGTGTTTCCGGTTACATTTGTAAGTGTTCTTTTCACTCCAAACCTGTTGGGACTGGCTCAGCTTGCAGCTGCTGCTTCTCTCTGAGCTCCCAAATGCGCACACTGCCATCTTCTGAACAGGAGATCAGCTGCCTGTAAAAACAATGGGTAAGAAACACCAGCATGGATACTGATCTGTGTACGTCACACTGTGATAACCCTATAAAAGAGACAGCAAGTGCCTCAGGCTTCACACAAGTTTACTAGAACCCTCAAGTACATGAGGACATCCAGGTGTGCCACGGAAAACAATGTGCATTTGTATCAGAACAAACTTGTCTCATAGAATAGGTGGGAAAAAAAACCATTTTCAGCCCCATTTGAAAAGCACATCACCATGTAAACCATAACAAGTCTAGAGTGTGCAGACACAGTTCCACTTATTGGTTTCTTACTTTCATTAAACAAAATTCTATTTTTTTCTCATGGAAAAATAACAAAAGGAAAGATACTCCATTTAATTACATCTTTAGAACAGCATGTGCATTTATGACACCAAAGCCCTAATTTTTATCTTCTGACAGACTTTGGCTCCATTGAACAACAGTATAAAGGGATCTAAGACAACTACTATTAGAATATAGACATATATATTATAAATTGGACTCGAACTCAGAGGGCTTTTCCAACCTGATTCTGTGATACATACTTATACATATACATAGGCAGCAAATTGTTCAAGCTGGCTGCCAAAACAAGTTCCAGCTAGAAATTCAGCTCAAATGAACACAGCCTGGAAGTTATTATTTTCTGTTACAACATTTCAACTGTCACAAAATATTTAGTGAAAAATATTTACTGAATATGCCATAGGCCTTTGCTCTGGAGAAGCAAAATGCCACTAAGCTGTGTTTTCACAGTGTAGGCAAAGTTATCAAGTCTGAATCTGAAAACAGCCACTTTCATCCTGTGTACCAGTCATACTGGATTATAGTTTTTTCCTACTGAATGATGATGATGAATTTGTAAAAATCAGATCCACAAGCTCTGCCTAATAAAAACAGATCAAACAGATCAAGTCCCTGTCCTAGAAATCAGACCCAGCTTTGCAGACTGTCCCCAGTCACCCTTCCAAGTTTTGCTTTTCTTCGTGGCATTAGCAGAATATGCCATGACTTGCACCTGTTTGGAAGCTTCTCAATGTGCAGCACAGAGGAGTCGTGGGCAGTTCTCTGGGAGGCAATCACACGCTTCATCTGAAGATTATATACGAAAATGCCTTTCCCAACGGCAGCAAACACACACTGGAAAGAAAATTCAATGGAACAACTTACAGCAACAGATACTGAAAGAATCACCTTGCATGTAATGGATTTCCAGAGATACTGTGATGTCATCCAGCCTGCACTATCCAGCTTGTTCTTCTCCTCATGTTACTGCTTTATCCGAAACATATGGAATCAGCAAGTTATAGAAAAATACGGATTTTTTTTTCAGCAAGTGATTTTTATTCCCTTGAGGTGAAGCCATATGAGGAGTGGCTGAGGGCACTTGGTTTTTCAGTCAGGAGAAAGAGACTGAGGGGAGACCTCAATGCTTTATACAACTCCCTCACGAGGGGCCATGGAAGGAGTTTGTGTGAGGTTCAAATACAGTGGCCTTACACATCATAAGCCATGAACATGAGCCAGCAGTGTGCTCAGCTGGCCAAGAAGGCCAATGGCATCCTGGCCTGGATCAGAAATAGTGTCCTGCAGGACTAGGGAGGTCATTGTCCCTCTGTACTCAGCAGTGGTAAGGCCACAACTCAAGTCCTGTGTTCTGGGCCCCTCACTGCAAGAAGGACACTGAGATACTGGAGTGTGTCCAGACAACGGCAATGGAGCTGGGGAAGCGTCTGGAGCACAGGTCCTGTGAGGAGAGGCTGAGGGAGCTGGGGGTGTTTAGCCTGGAGAAGAGGCTCAGGGGTGACCTTATCACCCTCTACAGCTCCCTGACAGGAGGTTGTAGCCAGATGGGGTCACGCTCTGCTCCCAGGTAACAAGTGACAAGAGGACATAGTCTTAAGCTGCACCAGGGGAGGTTTAGGTTGGACATTAGGAGGCATTTCCTCACAGAAAGAGTGATCAGACACTGGAATGTGCTGCCCAGGGAGGTGGTGGAGTCACCATCCCTGGAGGTGTTTAAGGACAGACTGGACATGGCACTTCGTCCCAAGGTCTAGCTGAAATGGTGGTGTTAGGTAATAGATTGGACTTGATGATCTCAGAGGTCTTTTTCAACCTGCCTGATCCTGTGATTACTCTTCCATCATGAGTTATATAGTCTTAGAGCTTTGCAAAGATGCTCTTCACAGAGCACTCTTCTTTCCATAAGCCCTGGCAAAACCCTGGTCATGTCAAATCCCAACAAAATAAAGATGAAGCACAAATTATACACCTATCTTAACAGGCAAAGCTAAACACACACACATGTATCAGGACAGCAGAGGCAATCATGAGCACTGTTTCCTAGTGTTGCCAAACCTTTACCATCCCATTTATTTCTGACAAGATCAGTGTCAAACTAGACAAGTGCGTCTTCTTCAACTACCTACCAATCCTGGAAAACAGATAGCACACCTCTTTTACATTATTTTTTTTAACTTGAAGAACAGTGTTCCACTTTTAGGCTTCAGGTAATAAAGTAATACAGTATATGAATGTATCTCTTCACCACCTTTTAAGTAGGAACTTTACAATACAGACAGCTCTGCCTTAAAAGCACTTCCTACTACAGGATGTGACACAAGAACCACCTTTACTTCCCACCATTCAAAACGCTCACAATGAATGAAATTCACACCTATTTGTTTCATTCAGCTCCATGACTGGAACGAAGCCTTCAGCTGCCTCAGATTGCATATTCAATGTTTTAGTTACTTCTGACCTTCTCAAAATTCTTTTCCCCTTCCTTAAAACACGTATTGTATAGCTCTCAAGCAGGGAATCAAAGTGTTTTGTGCCAAACTGCATAACTTATCCTAAACAAAATTGGCTTTTGCCTTGTTGGTAAAAATGAGCACTGACAACAGAACCACTGGAAATCCTACCATTGCAGACAAACACATTTTTTTCCCTCACACCCCTCAATGTTTCTCTCTCTGGGTTATTAGGAATGTTCCATTCAGAAACAGGCAAATTCATGAGGTGAGTACTTGGCCCTTAGCCTACATTCAGGCTTTTCCACAGCTTTTATTTTGTTATAGCTCATATCTCTAAATCTGTTTCCAGGAATCTCTTTCCTAATCACTCCCCAGTAATTTGACATACATGCTCCAAAACAAAATCGCCTGTACCACAACTATGAAACAACAAAAGCAAGTGGCAAAAGTAAGTAACAACCTGAGGATTTTTAGTGTTTGCTGAACAATAATTGGGTATTCTGACCAAGAACTCTTGAGTTATCTCCAAGGCATGATTATAGTAGGTTGGATCTTGGACCTGTATTCAAGTATACAATTGAGTATAGCCCACCTGAACAGAAGCAGAAATACTGATTTATGACTAAGCACAGGCTTAGTACCCCTAGCCATGACTGTTCAGAGGTGAATTACTATGGAATCTGCCTTTCCAAGACCATGGAATATGAAAGATGCATGCCATCAAAACACACACCTCCTATTTATTTTTCTCTAGTGGTACTGCAAGCTACTAATAAATCTTCTTGAGTCAAAAAGACATGCTGTTGTGACAGTTCATTATGTTGGTACCCACACCATCAACATATCATAACCTTCAGACAGCTCAATAGTCAATATTTTATCTAAAAACTGTTGGCTGTGTAAAAATATCTGTGAATATTTGAGAGAAGCCTCTCACATTGAAACAAGGAAACTGAAAACACAAAACAGTTTGCTGTGAAAAGGTCATAGTAGCTTACTTGAAGTAGTTTATTTAAAGCTTTTTACCTCTGTATCACATGTTAAGTGTTGAACTGAAGTCTCATTTGGGCTTTGGGATAACTTTATTTCTGGCTGTACATCTGGATGGACAGAGGTGTCCCAGAAGTTGCACTCAGATGCCTGCATTGTCCAGTCAAGTGCATCCCAAACTATTAACTCACCCACGTGAGAACCTGTCACAAAAGTCAAGTCTGGAGGGGGAGAAAAAACACCACATATAGAAATCACATGATATGAAACAAAACACATTACACACAAAGTTATAAGCCTGGAAAGTTAAGTACCCGTTTTTTGTGTAAAGCTATATAGAATGTGCACTATGTAACTGACTAGACAAAACCCACTCTGAGTAATGACTCATTTAATTACCTACCATAACTTAGATGAGCAAAAGGAGATAAGCTGTCTTGTAAAATCAGAACTAGGAAGGAGAACATCCACTGGCCACAGTGCACAGTACAGTGCAGCAAAGGCAAGGAACACCCCCAAAAGTATGTACAAGTATCTGAAGTTCATTTCTACATTGGACAACCCTCAGAAACCACAAAGTATGTCTTTGCCATAAACAGAAATACTGTTCACAAATTGAAGGGATGAGTTAATGGCAAGACTGAAGCAGCTACTCATGAGTTTGTTTATCATACATGGAAAGGAACTATCATAATACTTAATGCAGGTAGAATATTATCTCTTTAAGCCAAATATTGTTTGCCTTTCATAATCAAAAAGGAGAAAACAATGACAACAGGTAAACCCAGACACAAATACCATAGAATCCAAGCTTTCTTTTTTCCAGCTTCTTGTTAGCCCTGTAACACAGCCCCTTTGTGCCAACCAGGCTGACACAGCTACACCCAAGGACAAATAGACACTATCACACCACTAATAACTTGTCCTGGGCTCCGAGGGTGCTCCATAAAAACCAAAGACAAGGAAGAACAGAGTAGAAGGGGCTGATAGTTAGACAGAATTTCAGGTAATAACTCAGTGTTGCCCTAAGGAGCAGCAGAGATTGTATCACCCTCCAGACCCCCTGTACAATGGACCTATATGCAGACCCACACCCACACACTCAGAACCTCCAGTTATCTGGGGATTACAACTGCAAGGGATGTGGCATTACATATGCCCTTTTAGGAATCAGAAGGAGGAAGAAAAAAATAGCATTTTTAACTCTTCCAACAGAAAGAACAGACTGAGTTCCACTCCCATCAATGACATTTCTTCTTTTTCTACCTTTTCTACATTACAACTTGCCTGGTTTCATGTCATTGTTAATCCATAACCAAAGCAAGGTACATTTTCACATGTCTTTGCAGCTACACAAGAAGGTACATCCACAACTTATGAAGTTTCACTCTAGTTAAAACTTTGGACCCAATAAAAACTCCACAGGTGAGACATCCCACTGGTACCTAACAAAACCAGTAACATTGTAAAACAACTCTTACCATTGACACTGACTAATGACAGAATGTTATCCTGATGGTCAACAAGTCGCTTTACTTCAAGGACATCCCAACCTTCAGACCCGTTGTTAGAAGCACTCAACCTAAAAATTACTTCAAAGGTAGAGAATTGTCTAAATAAGCTTTAGCATTCAGGATAAGATGCAGCCGTGCTTAAATAAAACAGATAATTTTCAGAAAGACACAAATTACCAACATATTGTGAGACAGCACAAGAGCCACTTGTGATCACTCATAACATGGAAAAGTGGGAATGAATTATTTCAGTGCTATCATTAAGGACTCTTATGGCAGCAACTGCAGGATAAAACATTTCAGCCTAGTAACTCTGAAACTGCTCAACGTCAGAAGCTGCAGAAAGCAGAAGTGAAAAGTATTAGGACATCTTTATGGGTAAGTGAAGTAAAAGTGAAAAATGTTTTTTAAGGACTTGTTTGAATGAAAAATTAATATTCAACACGATGCAATATCCTCTAGTAAGGCAATGAGGATGATCAGGAATTAAGACTTTATTTTAACCAGTCTTGGAATTTCTTTATATCTCAAGGGTACTACAAAACAAGTGTGGGAGGTTCAAATGGAAGTTTATACTACAGAATCATAGCATGGAAAAGACCTCTGAGATCATCAAGGTAAGCCTATGACCTAACACCACCATGTCAACTAGACCATGGCACTAAGTGTCATGTCCAGTCTCTCCTTAAACACCTCCAGGGATGGTGACTCCACCACCTCCCTGGACAACACACTTCAGTGTCTAATCACCCCTTCTGGGAAGATATTCCACCTAATGTCCAACCCAAACTTCCCTATATGGTTGCCTAAACACAAGAAGGCCATTTTTAATTAGTTCCTGATTCTTTGATCAGAGTATCAGGTTGCTATTTTTCACCTAAGTGTTTCATCACCTTGAGCAAAGTCTGCTGTTCTGCTGATAGAGTGTTCTGGTTTTCTTCTGGATTTTATTCCCTATTTTAAAATTTGCATAATTTTACACAACACTTATTGAAAAGACTCTCCACCAACAGACAGCCAATGACTTACACAATGAGACAATGAAGAACATTGTCTTATTATAGCTTTGGACAGTATAATGAGATCAGCAATATCTCATGCTCCTGATCCTCGGATAAGGATGCTCTAGGGAAGCCAAGTGCCTGACAGCTCAGACAAGCAGTTCCAGACCTTTTCCAGAAGGACAAACATCAAAGGACAAACATCAACTAACATAATCAGGTCTGGACAGATGGCACTAACCCTAAGGGAGCTGCAGAATTGCTCACCAAGCCACTCTCCATCATTTATCATCAGTCTTTGTTGACCAGGGAGGTCCCAATCAACTGGAATTTAGCCAATGTGACACCCATCTACAAGAAGAGCTGGAAGGAGGATACAGAGAACTAAAGGCCTGTCAGCTTGACTTCAGTGCCAGGGAAAGTGATGGAACAAAGCATTTTGAGTGTGATCACACAGCACATTCAGGGCAACCAGGGGATCAGGCCCAGCCTGCATGAGTTTGTGAAGGCAGGTCCTGCTTAACCAACATGAGCCAGCAGTGTGCACAGGTGGCCAAGAAGACCATTGGTATCCTGGATTGCATCAGTTATAGTGTGGCCAGCAGGACCATGGAAGTGATTGTCTCTCTTGTACTGGGCACTGGTGAGACCACACCTCGAGAGCTGTGTCCAGGTCTGGGCCCCTCACTACAAGAAGGACACTGAGGTGCTGAAGCACATCCAGAGAAGTGCAATGGAGCTGGGAAAGGGTCCAGAGCACAAGTCCTGTGAGGAGAGGCTGAGGTAGCTGTGGGGGCTCAGCCTGAAGGCTAAGGAGGCTCACGGAAGACCTTATCACTCCCTACAACCAGCTGACAGGAGGTTGTAGCCTGGTGGGGTCAGTCTCTTCTTCCAGGAAACTAGTGACAGGACAAAAGGACATGGCATCAAGCTGTGCCAGGGGAGGTTCACACTGGACATGAGGAAAAATTTCTTCATGGAAAGGGTTGTCAAGCATTGGAATATGCTGCCCAGGGAGGTGGTGGTGTCACCATCCCTGAAGGTGTTTAAGGAGAGACTGGACGTGGCACTTAGTGCCATGATCTAGCTGACAAGGTGGTGTTTGGTAAAAGGTTGGATTTGATGATCTTGGAGGTCTTTTTCAATCTCTGTGATTCTATAATTCTGAATATAGAAAAGTCTCATCATGCGTATCTCAACAAAATTCCTGAATGAGATTAGTATTGTCTCCTCTTTGTCAAGTAATGGGAAAAGGAAGAAGGTTGCTGATCACACCCTAATACCATTTACTTCCCCTACACAATCCCAGCAGTATGCTCCTTACACACGTCTCTGATAAGCAGCTGTTACAGAGGAACATGAACACACAGCAGAAATGCAACATACTCACTTAGCTCTTTGCCAACAGCTGCTGCAACACAATTTTTGGGCAATTCAAGCAAAGCAGTGATACCTTGGGAAAAAACACAACAGGAGATGAGGGAGAAAAGGATATTCACTGGTCACAAGAAAACACAGCATATTGTTAATTTCCTGTTAATAAAGTTCTTAATGATCTTCCTTCCACTTAGAAGTTGTTATCATCAAAACAGAGGCATAGTGCCTGAAGTGGAAGTCAAATCGCATTGGAAGTAGAGAGGTTTTATCAAACAGAGGTAAGGTCAAGAGTTTTGGTCCTGAATCCAGCACAGTTCTGAACATCAAACTTGTGGTGAAGCTGAGAATCAGTTGCAATATTATTTTAAACACAGTTAAGATATTTGTGTCCTAATGCTGGACAGGATTAAGGGCACTGTGGCAATTATTGAGACCCTAAACACAGGCAGCACCAAAGTATGCACAGTTCTAAAACACTGTGCAGGGACAGCTGAAGAAGAATAAGGCACAAGATAAAATGTCCAGTTTGCTCTTAGTCTGTCTTCATCCTGCACAGCATTAAAGGAAAACTCTCCAAGGAATAAGCAACCTGTCTCTCTGCCCACAAAGGAAGCAAGAGATTAGGAGAGAAGAAAGGGCCCAAGGTGCACATGAAATTGGCTCCTTGTCCAAAAGTTTAAATAGCACCTCATGCCAAGCAGCACAGCACCACTTCCAGCTGGTATTTAGAACAATATTTCACACTAGACCAGAGGAAGTATTAAGAGAAAGATTCAGAAGGTTTTGCCTACCACTACTCCATCCTACAACAAAAGTAAGGACAACATTGGTTCCGCCTTTGAATGTGATTCACATCCTCTTAGGTATCTTGGAAAAGTACAGCAATAACATGCAACAACTTCCTTCACATGGACAGATAATACATGTTTATCAACAGAAAGCACAACTGACATTGAGATCTGATTGCATTTAATGTATTCCTATCCAAACCTGCATTTTCTACATCAAAAATAACAACTCTTACTAATAGTAAGTAATACTTACTGCTCTGCTACTACAAAGCTTCACTTAGGACAAAACTCCCATTCAGTCACAGAAGAAGCCACTCAAAGGCTCTAGTCTATGTTACAGCCAACATATAAATCAGCATCTGAGGCCTAGCCCTCTAAGTCCAAGCTAAGGTACAGGTACTGAGATTTGACACATTCACACAGCACAGGAGATTAAAAGCTGCAGCCTTAGTTCTGAAACTATCAACTCTGACATTTAAAGAAAAAGAGAGTGGCTCTAATGCTTAATGTTATCATTAGAATTAAAGAGGATTTGCCAAGTTGGTTTTGCATCATTATACAGATCCATTTTACTTGCACTTTAAGGGCTATAATGAGTCATTTACATTTTTACCTGCATCAGTAAGATGACTGGTCTTACACAAGAGATCTAATTTTCGGTTCCAAACACATAGATCACTCCCTCCAGACAACCATACGTCCAGCCTTTGAAGAACTGTCAAACACTGCAGAACAAAAATCAGATATATCTCTCCTGCAAAAGTTCTACAGGGAATTTCCCAGGGAAATGGTGGTGAGCTTTACTTAGATAAATCTGTAAGTACTGTGAAATACAGTACCAAGGCATCACTTCCTTGAGAAATACAGATTTAATTACATTCTCTAAGTTACATTTTTCATCAACAATGCAAAAACTTAATTTTTCAGTGTTTTTCTTCCCTCCTATTAACATACAAGATCTAGTCTAACTATAGGTTGACTTTTCTAACACAGTAACAAAACCAAGGCATAAAATTACCTTTGCTCTACATCCTTTCAAAAAGAAAACTGAGCTCTGAGTTCTGAAAACAAATTTAGAATTCTGCTCACCTCTCAGCTGCTCATGATGTTCCTCCTCTTAAACCAAACACTGCTGCTCATTTTAGGACACCTGCCCATAAGACCCATGAGCCACACACAGCAGATTGCTGTATAAAATGAAACAACAGACATTCACAGGGTTCCCTCAGCTTACCTTCACAGTAGAATGGAAACATGACACTTTCTGAACCTGTCTGCCACTATTGCAGTCCCAAACCTGTCTTTATTCATTAAGGAAACAGAAAGGTTTCTGTGTATTACAAATATAAATGCTGTGTTTGTAACTAAATGACAGACAATAGATCATAGAATCAATCAGGCTGGAAAAGACCTCTGAGATCATCAAATCAAACCTATGACCTAACACCACCATGTCAACTAGACTATGGCACTAAGTGCCATGTCCAGTGTTTCCTTAAACACCTCCAGGGGTGGTGACTCCATCACCTCAATGGGCAGTGCATTCCAGTGTCTAATGCCCCTTTCTGGGACGAAATTCTTCCTAATGTCTAACATAACCCTCCTCTGGCACAACTTGAGACTATGTCCTCTTGTCCTGTCACAAGCTTCCTGGGAGCAGAGCCTGATCCCCACCTGGCTATGACCTTCTTTCAGGTAGCTGTAGAAACTGATAAAGTCACCCCTGAGCCTCCTCTTCTCCAGGCTAAACATTTCCGCAGCCTCTCCTAATAAATCTTGTGTTCCAGACCCTTCTGGACACACTCCAGCACCTCAATGTCCTTCTTGCAGTGAGAGACACAGAACTGGACACAGTACTTGAGGTGTGGTCACACCAGTGCCAAGTACAGGGGCACAATCACTGCCCTGGTCCTGCTGGACACACTATTGCTGATACAGGCCAAGATGCCACTGGCTTTCTTGCCCACCTGCACACATGTTCAGCTGCTGTTGATCAGCAACCTCAGGGCCTTTTCTGCTGATCCACTTTCCAACCACTCTGCCCCCAG